TTACAGCCTCGAGATATAACTGCCCCCAGCTATTTGGTCCCATCTGGATTCGAACTCAGGTCTGCTTTTCAACCGTTAGTTTATTTATTTATACGCGGCCTTTCCACAGTTAGTTTTTTTCAACTGAGCTATGGCCGTTCGTATACGCGGCCTTTCCACAGTTAGTTTTTTTCAACCGTTAGTTTATTTATTTATGCTATGGGTGTCTACCAACTGAGCTAAGGCCGTTCGTACACGCGGCCTTTCCACAGTTAGTTTTTTTATGTTATGGGTGTACCAACTGAGCTAAGCCCGGTGGTACACGCGGGTTTTTGCCCTCGCCTCTTTTCTTTTATCTTTCCCGCGCGCCCCCGCTTCCAGGGGCTACCGGTAAGTCCCACTACCGGGGCCAGGTCCCACTGGCGTGTGTTGTTCATTTGGCGAGTGTTGTTCATTCCCGACCGCCGATTGTGGCGGGAATACACAGATCCATGGCCCGAAATGAAGAACACCATCTAGTGGGACCTGGCCCCCGGTAGCACTCCGAAACGTTTTTGGTTGGCCCTATGCCGCAAGGTGCGACGTTCCATCCGGCCGTGGAGTGCAGATGATCGGAGGGCCAGGAAAAGGAGTTGAATGCTGCGTAACATAGAGAGAGATTTAAACGGCGTCTTTCATTGGTTTTCGCAAATATTTGCCAGCAGTGTTGGGTGGTTTTGGTTCCTGGCATGGTGTGGGGTATGTGAGAAACCAGAACCCTCTCTCTCTCTCTCTCTCTCTCTCTCTCTCTCTCTCTCTGTGTCTGTGTGTGCACACTACACATGCTTTGTGCCTGGACGTGCACTCCACGGCCTTTGGGTCTTCTCACCACATACAGGAAAGGCAAAAACTATGGGGATGTATTTTCCCATGTACAGGGGAAAATACATTCACTTTTTTCACATTTGGTGAGGTGGAGCAAGGACTTACGACTGGCAGATTGACATCATTGCAGGACCCTTTGACACTGTTTCAGACTTCCTCAAAAACGATTCGAATTCCAGAGAAAAAAAAAAGAAGCATGGAAATGGTGTCACACGATGCCGCCCCCTGCCGCACCGTGCCGCATTGGTATCGGAATCAAAACCAAACTCGTGCTAGTGGGACTTGGCCCCAGCTCAGTAGGATGGGAGGACTGTCGGTGGGCCGCAAGGCAGGGTCATGTGGAAAGCCCCCTCAGGACAGGATGATCGGAGCGCAACTGATAGAAAACGCGTCGGGGAAACGCGTCTGGGAATGTGCGCGTAAGCTGAGATTAGTATCCGCGGCTATGCATTGAAGAGCGTCCGAAGCGTGTACCAAAGGCAGTTGGCCCCTGTTTTCACTATTCTCTCTCTCTCTCTCTCTCTCTCTCTCTCTCTCTCTCTCTCTCTCGCGCGCGCGCGGCTATCTGTTGCGTTTGAATGACTTGCCGCTTCTCTATGTCTGTATGTCCCTTGCTTGCTGTATCTTGATATTGACTTGTGGTGGGGACCACAAGTCAGTTGGCCCCTTTTTTCTTTTTTTTTTTCTTGCACCTATATATATTCGTAAGTTCGAACTTCGAACTTTCGAAGCCCTAAACCTTTGAACAGTTAAAGCTCAATAAGCAAAGTTTAAACTTTAAACTTTAAACCCTTGGCTACACTCTCTTCTTTCATGGAATCTTTTTTTTTTTTTTTTGAAATAAAGTTTATAAAGTTGTATAAACTTTAAACCCTTGGCACTCATCTGCAATAATGGCGAACTTGTGAATCTTCATCCCCCGACTCCTCCCTCTCACCTCYCCCCCCCCCCCCCCCCCCCCAAAACACACACACACACACGAAAAAAAAAAAAGAAAAAAAAAAGAAAAAAAAGAAAAGAAAAAAAGAAAACAAAAAGAAGTGATGTTCGTGATTCAGACTTCTTTGTTTTTCTTGGGATTGTCTCTGTTCTGCGAACAACGTTTTTTTTTCAGAATGGATGCAATGTTCCTGCCCATGCTTCCTCTTTTGAGAATTGAACCCATCACCTCCCCACCTCCAAAATAAAAACAAAAAAAGAACACACCCTTACACACACAAAAAAAAAAAGAAAGAAAAAAAGAAAAAAAAAAGAAAAGAAGGAGTTCGTCCTTCAGGACATCTGTTGAAATTGGGAGCACACAGAGAAGAGTATCATGCCCCCTGCGCACGGATGACACGCATAAATCTAGAAATGGCTAGGCTACCAGAGTGGCCCGGGTCCACTTGCCCGGCCGGGTCAAAAAGAAATAAAAAAATAAAAAATTAAAAAACTATTTTTTAATTCAAATTTTTAATTTAAATTTGGTAAAGAATTTCGATGTGACCCTGAGCCAAAAGTTGTTCAGTTTATTTTTCTGCATAACATAGTTTTTTTTTCGGTTTTTAAATTTTTTTTTTTTTTTTTTTTGGCTGGGACCTTCCCTAGTCCTTGCACGGCCGGACCGCCTGGGAAAATAGGGTGACCCGGGCGGCCCGGCTGGTAGCCTAGAGAAATGGGGGGGGGGGAGGAAAGGAGAAAAAAAGTTCGTTATCCAGACTTAATATTTTTTTCTTTCTTTGTATTTTCTATTTTCTGCTGACAACGTTTTTTCAGAATGGATGTGTCGTATTGCCTGCAACTTGTGGACTCTCTGGATGCAATGTTCCTGGCCATGCTTCCACTTCGAGAACTGAATCCATCATTGAACAGGACGCCGCCATCACTTTACGCTGCCTCTGCAGATGGAGGTATGTATTCAACAATGACTTACATCGCCAATGAATTACCATAAAAATTGCATACACACAAAAAAAAAAAGAAGTGAAGTAGTAAAATTAAATAATTTAATAAATAACCTTTTTTGGGGGGGAGGGGGGAGGGGAAGACTTCTGTTAAATAATGTTGAGAAAGAACTGAATAAGTTAAATGGCATATAATAGAGTTATTACGAACGAGTTTCATTTAAGTTTTTTTTTTGGGGGGGGGATAATGTGAAAAAAAAAAAACACTGAATAAGTTAAGTAACATAGAATAGAGTTATGACGAACAAATTTCATTTAAGTTAAAATATGATTTAAAAAAAAAGGCTAATTCTCTTAAGCCCAACCAATTTAATTACCTGTCGAATCTGGACAGGACGACCTTTCAGGCCTTCGCCCACCTGCTTTAGCAGGTATCATACCTACTGGTGGGTGCGGCTCCCGCCTGTTCCCGCTTTGGAGGCTTGAGCATGGATGTGGGTGCTATGGGGTTCCCCGTAATACTATAATGATAATTCACTTTTTGGGGGGGGAGGGGGGAGGAGAAGACTTCTGTAAAATAATGTGAAAAAAGAACTGAATAAGTTAAATAACCTATAAATTTATGAACGAAGTTCATTTAGAAAGGAATTTGATGAATAATCATTGAAATGTGTGATTGTAATGTAGCAACTGATTGTAACTGTTGTTGTGCGAATAGAATGCCTGATCATTATCGCGGTATCTAGACTGAAAGTTGGCCCAGATACAGCTACGAATCCCCATGATCGGCAGTCACCGCGGCTGTGACCGTGACCTCCGGTCACGACCGGGTCCCAGTCATGAAAAAAGTTGTCGAAAGAATCTGAAAAAAGAAAAAATGTTATGCAGAAAAATAGTCTGAACAACTTTTGCATCAGGGTCACATACAAATTCCTTACCAAATTTGGGGAAAAAAAAGCAAATTCCATTGTTTTTTTTACCAAAAAAAAAAACTAAACAACTTTTGCCTCAGGAAATTAGTTTTTGATCTAAAAATATCGAAAACAAAGTCAAATTATAAAAAACAAATTGCATTGTAGAGCTCAAAAAGATCTACAACACCATGTTTTTGCTTTTTTTTTTTAAATCTTTTGACCCCCCAAAAAAATCCCTGAAGGCCGCAGCCGGAGCTTGGCCAGCAGTGGCCCGAGTTCCGGTCACGGCCGGGAGTGGGCGGCCTATTCGGGTGAAGACTGTAGTTGCATGATTCATATCTCACCATTCTACACCCTCGCCACCTCCCTGTCCCCCTTTCTCCCCCCGCCCCCCTCCCTGTCCACCTCCCTGTCCCACTTCGTGCCCCCCTCATTTGCCTCCCTCCTCTCACCCCCTTATCACTTGCCCCATATGTCGTTTTGGCGTTCGCATGCCATGCGTGAATAACTGTGAACGTGACCCAGCTGTCCTGATAGCATGCGAGCACATCATGCTATGTTTGGACAACGTTTTCAAAAAGAGAGTATGTCTCACTACCGTGTGGACTATCCCTGATGCCATCACGTGCACATTCTCTCCGTTCATGTCCCGCACCTGATGCTGAGCATACTCTGGCTGCACCAATCATCGAACCCCGTCCATCCTTGAGAGAGAGAGAGAGAGAGAGAGAGAGAGAGAGAGAGAGAGAGAGAGAGAGAGAGAGAGAGAGAGAGAGAGAGAGAGAGAGAGAGAG